ACACACACACACACACACACACACACCCCTTCCCCCTCTCCACAGGACACTGCTCACCCTCCGCTCATCAACAAGGGGCAGCAGAGGGCAAGAGTTCCTAGTCCAAGTCTGGCTGGCCTGCCAGCTTGGGCTCCTGGAGGAGGCTGGGTTTCAAAGCATCGGCTGGTTTCAGGCAGACAACGAATATCTTTGAACTAGACTATATTAAAAAAAAAAAAAATACTGCTTTTTCTGTCTGCCCACTTACCCCGCTTCGTTTTTCCCCACAGCATTTATCTCATTACCTCATGTTATTTATTTATGGCCTGTCTTCCCATAGCCAAGAAGCTCCAGGACAGCAGGGACATGTTTCGTTCACTGCTGTGACCTCACACCAGGCACCCAGAACAGTGCCTGGCACATAATGGACACTCACTCATATTTGCTGGTTGAATAAGTCATTTTGACTCAAGTCCTATAAAGGGTCACTTTGACTTCACCGAGATGCAGTGATATGCACTGAGGGCTTGAACCCCACGTCCTAGTGTGAGTCAAAGTAGCTCATTGTGACATCTGTCCACTTAGTGCTCTCCACTCAGGCTGCATACTGTCACGGAGGAACCGCTCACAATTCACCAGTTCCCGGCCCCACTCTCGTGGGTTCCACTGGGTTGTGTTTTAATGAACAGCCACGGTAGAGAGACAGGAACACAAAAACCAAAGATCTGGCTCCTGTCCTCGAAAATGTGAACCGGTATAACCATGGTTACCGGTGTGCCACAGTTTATGACCAAGTGACTAAGTGGGTTTGAAGGTGACGAGGAGGGTCAGAGGTTAGCAGCCTCCTGGTGTGTGGGGTGGGGAGTAGGTCAGAACAGAGTCTGAGGATAGACATAAGAGCCTTAAAGTAGGGGAGTGGTTTATATTAGGTGAGGGGTGGACATTTGGGAGAAGGGACTGCAGAGTGTAAGCAAAGGCCCAATAGACAAACTGTATCAGGGGCCAATTAAAAAACAAACAAGAAACAGTACTAATGGTCAAAATTGAGAAATAGTAGAAAGGACTCTCAGAAAAAAAAAAAAAAAGCCTGTGGTCAGACTGTGGAAGAGTAAATGCCAGAAGAAGATGCTTGAACTTCATCCTGAAGGTCAGGTGAAGCCACAGAAGGTTTCTCAGCAGGAGAGCAGTGTGCCTGGCAGTGATGTACGCGTGGGAGCAAAAGGAAGGGAGAATTGTAGGTAAGGAGATCAGGGAGGAAATGTATTCTACAATCTAGAAGCAAGATGATAAAAGCATGAATTAAATAGAAAACAAACAAACAAACAAAAAACATGAACATGAGAACCATATCAAAAGAAAACTCCGCAAGACTATTTTTTGATTGAACGTGCAGGCCAGAGAAAAGAAATATTAGATAATTGGGATTTAAAGAGAATACTGGGGCAAAAAAAAAAAAAAAAAAAAAGCATCACTGATAGAAATAAGAATGGAAACAACAGTTTTTCCAAACAAGAATTTAAATGTTGGACAATAAATACCAGGGGGGGGAAAATACAAACAATTAGTGACGACACAATTAAGGGAAATAAGATCTTCCAAGTACCTTTCACACATCAGGCCAACTCACCTTTCTGCATCGACAGAGCCAGACCTGGAATTTTATTCTAGGTAGAAGTAGTTAGCTTCCCCCTAAGATTCAGATAACTTTCTTCTACCTCAGTGGCTGCATCCTCACCCACCCTTGCTTTGGAGACAAACGTTAATATTCTCAAAATAACACAAATTTGGTACAAATGTATTGCCTAAGGAAAACACTATTCCATATATAGCAAAGTACATAATGACTAAAGCTTCAAATTCAGACCAATGAGAGGAACTGTAAGTTACTGCATTTTAAAAATACCGCCACACGAAATGAGAGTATATGTTACAACTCCCCCATACAAACAAGCAGTGTCAGCAGATAGTGCGAGTTCAATAGATACCTATTGAGAAAGAAACCGAAATAAAAAGAAAGAATAAAGAGAAACGAGAGTTGGCACAAGCGCAAAGTTTTTCTACCGCCAAGTGGAAATACAGAAAAGACAGCTGACGGTCACGAGAGCCGGGACTTTGTTTTGTCTGTGGCTCGATCCCTGTCATCCCAAATAATTTCTAGCACACAGTAGGCAGTCTGTAAGTATACGTCAAACAGATAATAAAGGGCTGATGTAGTGGATGCTTTCTGAAGATGCTCATTCAGACACTGAACCAAAGACGGTCTGAATTGCGCAGTCCCCTTCATCCATCACAGCTCTTTGTACCAAGGATGGTTACTTGGTCCACCTAGAAGCCTCTCCTCTGGAAACTGTGATGTGGGACCTAGAGGAGATGTTCTCTGCATGTGAATGGCCTATTAGCACACACACTTCGGGTCTCCAGGTGACCATCTTCCAACCACCGCGTGGGCAGGGACGCAGAGAAGGGGTTGCTTTTGAGACGAAGCAGAAGCAGACGCGTGGAGAGCAACAGAAACTGTCCCAATAGCTTTTGGACTCTGGGTACAGTTCCCTCCTAGATCCCAGCTGTATTTGGGCCTTTGGTTTCCAAGAGCCACTTATAATTATTCTGTAAATTATTAATAACCAGATATCCTAACAGAAAACCTATTTTTCCCTGTAAGATAGATGAGCAAGTTGAAGAAGAAGGGCGAACACCAATTCACTTACGGATCACTCCAAAGGGACCAAAGTTTCAGATGCTTCTGGCACAGGACCCGTTAGATGCCACACCCCAGGCCCAGCGAGGTTGGATGGACGGAGCAATGTCTTCATGGTGATATCTGCACCGATGGGTTTGGATGAAGCCCAGAAGTAGCTGGAAGATGATGGCTAAATAAATAAACTCTCTTTGGAGTTTCGGCCAGGTTTGGATAAAGAAGAGAATTTTAAGAAACAGAGGTACATGACAGAAAATGCCCGCCAGGAGACTGTGAAGAGGAAGAATAGAGAAGGGTCCGAGGAATGGTAGACGTGCCGTTGACCTACAGAAGCATGAAAAGGAGTTAGGAGGACAGGGACACGCCTCAGTAACGGCTACCGTCCACCAGCACTGCCACCATGGGCCTCTGCTATGCTGCGGCTCTAACTCACCTGTCAATCTCTTTCCCACTCACTCGGTGTCGCTGGAGTGGTGTTTCTGTTTTACCGAATGACCCAAGTTCCTCATTGTTTCACTGACACGCAACATATGGTGATAAGGATGTGGACATCAGTGATCAGGAAGCAGGGACAATGACAGACCCCCCCCACACGGACGCTGGCAAGTGACATAAAGTAATTCCATGGAGATTTGTTTGGGAAAAAATAAAATAAAAAAATCTTAACAGAAATAATGGAGTCAGGCAACCTAACAGATGCAGAATTCAGAACACTGGTTATAAAGATGCTCAATGAACTTAGGGGAAGTGTAGATGAATTCAGTGAGAACTTTAACAAAGAGATAAAAAACAATAATATATAGTAATATATGTTATTTATTATTTCATAACTATTTATATGATATCCATAAGTAAATATTAGCATAAACTAAATAGGTCTAGAGAGTTAAGAACTTCAAATAAAGAAATAAACGCAAAAAGAGAGTTAATTTTAGGCCAAATTTTTACTAAGCATTTCATTGCCTTCGGCAGCCTAGAAGCAAAAT